AGTTACTGCACCAACCAAATTAAACTCGATTACATCCAATTATGCTGAAAAGCCAGACAACAGCTCTTAGCTTGGGGTGAAGTAACTTCTTGCAGTCGCATGTGGGGAGGCCTTGCAGGGTGTCAGGAGGATAATTGCTCGTTTGCTCTACCACAGAGCACCATCTGCTCTTGAAGTAATGCCTAAGGATGTGAGAGGATACCAGGGTCGGGTAAACAGGCAGGGGAGCCCAGCAAAAGATTTTCCCCCTGCTTGTTTTATTACCATTTGGTTTATGGTTGCTTGCCCTGGGCCCAGCTGCGGTCAAAGCCCCATTGTGGCAAATAGTGTCCGTAGAGGGAGTCCTTCCCATACCGAGCCGCTGGTCTCATCCGGGAATAAACAAGAATGAAGTGGCCTTTATGCTTATCTCAGAATAGTGTCTGTGTCTGGAGCATTGCCTGGTGCACTGTCCACCAAGCAGTTCTGTAATGGTTTTCTGTCTTGAGGAGGTGAGAAAAAAAAATGGGAAAACTCCCAGTTTCCTTCTCCTCTGTGGCAGAAATAGCATAAGTGGGGGGGTGGGGGGGGTGGTAAAGGTAGCTGCCAAAAATGTATCTAGATCCAGGCAGGAGAGTTTTCATGAGGAACTCATCCATCCTAGAAGGAATCACCAAGCGGGAAGTCCTAACTGTCTACCTTGCTCAAAGAGGTAGAACTGGGCTTCAGTGTGAACTGAATAGGAAAACACATTTCATTATCTTCAAGTGTGAGGACTGGGAAGTGTCCTCCAGCTGCATGCATAGACACTGTCCAGGCCCAGGCCCCTCCCCATGCTGCCCCATGGTTGGCATCCATTCTTGATGGGATGTGCTGATTTCTACCAGGATGTCCAACAGAGAGAGGACAAAGTAGGCTTTCCAAATTGATTGCTTTCCCATCACTACCACCACCTGGCCCATCAAGTCCAAGAGACTTGTATGTACCTTTACCACTGCTGACCTGCAAGTCATCTCTTCCTTTCTTTCCCTTTCAAGTCTCTATGAAGGCATCAGAGCTCTGATGCCCCATCTTTGCCAGAACACTATAGTGAAGATGCTTCAGACTGTCTCGTTATTTGATCAAAGCATCCTGTGCTACTATTCCCTCCTCTCATGGAAAGCACACAGTGCTGCTGGAACTGCTGTCTATCACACAAAGCAAAGGACTGTCTTGTGGTTTGGCTTCAATTGCGGTCGTTCTGGGGGTCTTACTGTTCTCTTCTATGGAAGGTGGAAAGCTTGAAAAGATTTGAGTTCTTGAAAGAGGTGATTTTTTTTTTTTTTAACCTTAAAAATCCTTGGTGAAATAAAAAAGCTGCTTCCATCTTGCTCTGCTGCAGGAACTGTTGCATGAAGATAAAGTCAGGTCCTATTGTTGTGGAGCTGGATCTCAGGAGACTGAGTATTCAGTCAGAATTAAAAGCAGGCAAGTAGCACCAAGCAGTGCAGCAGATTTTTTTAGCCTTTCCCCTCACCCCCTAGCTTGTTTCAATTTATTTTAACCTCCGTATAGGGCATTTCCAAGGGATTACTGCCTGGCTGGGGTAAGTAGCCCAAAGCATTTCAGCCAGCTGGTCCTTAATCCACAGGAAATGCCCCGTGTCTCCATCCATCCCTGCTGCTTGCACCAGCGACCGGGAGCGAGGAGGGGAATTGCTCTGCCTGCAGCTTTCTCTTCTGCCAGCAGATGGCACAGCTCATATAAATAAATTTGGAGCAGGCAGGAGAAGCCGTGGACATTGTGGTTTCTTTCTTAGAAGTTCTGATTTTTCATAGATTTCGGTTTCAGATATGAACGAGAAACCGCACTGAAGGTTAAAAATCCTGGAGGTTTCTGCAGGAGAAAGCGTCACTTTTTCATGCACTCTGGCACATTAAACACACAATACAAGGGCTTTTTCTTAGAAAAATGTTTCTCAGCCTTACCCTTGTTCAAGGAATACAATTTCTCATATGGCATCTCTTAGTTTCTTCCTTACTATGCCTGCTAGTTCTGCTGTTCCCCTTTCAGTTGTTCCTCCAGGCAGGGAGAGATTCTCTATGGCTTCGCATAGCTCCCTCATTGGGTTTTTCCAACACAGGGATGTGGTTTTCACACAGTTTTCCGCCAAGACTGCTGGCTGTTAGCTCAAACTCTGGAGATTTACGTAGTCAGCTGGGGCCAGCCTGAGTTCATTCTCCACTGCCGGTTGGAGGAACAGCTTGAAGTTGGTAAAACTGTTACGAACGTGCAAGCGCTGCCAAATCAGAGCCGTGCTTAAGACAGACATCATCCTTAACTCCTAGGGGCATTGAGGGTGGTATTTGTGTGTATCTTCCAGGCCAAATGCTTTAAGGAGGGCCAGCATTATAAGGCATTGTAATGTTACATGCACTGGATCATATGTAATCTGGCAGCCTGATGCCAGAATTAACTCACTGTTCCTGCTCTACATATGGCCACAGTGGAATTGGGGAGGCACGTTCACGTGCAGCATCTTTGTTTCAAGCATTTTTCTGCACAGAGCTTATTTTAAGGTTGGACTTGATGATCTTGGATGTTTTTTCCAACTTCTATGACTCTGTGATTCTGTGTCACATTTGAGATGGCAGCATATTTGAATGTACAAAACACGCAACCCATTTCCCATCCAAAAGTCCCAGCAATCTGAGATACATGTGTCAGGCTTCACCAAAGGAATAAAAAAAAAAAAAGAATTCACAGGGGTACTTCATGACTTCATGTTTTGGACACTGTTCAGATATATGTTGAGATATAACCAAGTCAGTAAATGCGATCCAAAATAGGGATGAGTGGAGAAAAAGGATAGTACAGTAGGGGAGCAGGGTAATAAACCAAGGGCTGTCACAGAATATGAAGAATAATTCATTCCAATTCACACAATGATAATTATGGAGCATTTCTTCAAACATCCATCACCCAAATGAAGTGTTTCAACTCTGTGTGGTGGAAGTTGTTAACATAAAAATGCAGACAGGGTTCTCCGCAACTGGTATTCAAACTGATACCACTTTGCATTGGTGTCACTATGAGTGAATTCCTAACCTGTGAATCATTAACGTACACCATGGAATAGTTTTGCACGATAGCTCTGTATTAATCATGATTGCCTGCTCTCGATGGGGTCTTTCTAAATCCCCAGTGGCTCGCTGGCCTCCCTGAAATCGCTGTGTGTTGAGGGAAGATCTCTCAAGCACAGGTCACCAGGACGCAGTTTTCCCTGCGAAGGCACGAAGTGCCTCTAACCCAGGGGAGTTTGCAGGTGGAACTCTTGCTCTCATGGAGTGTAAATTGATACAGCTCTAGTGCACTGAATAATAGGCAATGCTGGCTGAGGCCAGCACAGAACTGGTCTCTCCATCCTCCCCTGCTCTCAGCTCCACCACACACGCTGAATTGGCAGAGGTGGGGGAGCTGATTTGACCGCAGCCTCTCTGTGCAGAGATTGCCCAGCACTGGAATAGGATCAAATCTTTCCTTTGGGTAATGAGAAGGTAGAGAAATCTTCCTTTTTAAGTCTTTGCATTTCACTGTCAGAAAAACAAAGCTGTTGAGAAAATACACTCCTAACAAATGACTGACTTGTTCTTTAAGGGGTTATTCCCCTGCTTTATGCATTCTCAAAGATGATAAACAACATATGGCTTAACTGTGCTGTCCCCATCTTGAAAAGGGGTGTCGTTCCTACCTCCCAGAGGCACTGCAAGTTGCAATTACTGTTCTGAAATGATGCAAGATCCTTGCTCGAGTGGCGTTATATAAAGGTTGTTGTTGTTTGACATACAGTAGAGCATCCAGCCAGCGTGGAGTTGTTATTGCACCAGCCACGACACAAACATGTAAGGAGGGACCGTCCCTGCCCACAGAGGTTGGACAGGCAGGGAAGCTGAGGCAGGGATGACTGAATGTGCCCAAGCAGGTTTGGGGCAGAGCTCCTGTATAGAGACAGGTCTTGGAAATCCATCCCCAGCAAACAACCCTGAGTTGTGTTTTCCATGTGAGCATGGGCTAAGAGGACTTGGCTTTTATGGGTACCATGACCAAGTTTTTACTTTAAATAATGCGGTGAAAGGAGGTTTAGAGCAGAACCCACCTCGCAGGTCTGTAGAGGGACACTTTATTGCTGCCTGAGCTGGGGAGAGGATCAGACTTTGAAATGTACAGTGTTTCTAGATCTGAAAGATGATAGTGAATCTCAGCCAGGGTATAATATGCCGTAATACAAAACCTGGCTTGTCTGCATGAGACTCCAATGGCAGTCAAATCTCCTTTCAGTGGCCACTGCTCCATTACTTCAAAATCAATAATAGAATACTATGCTTTTATTGATTCCCCTCGGGTTTTGTTGGTTTTGTTTGTTTGTTTAGTTTTTAATTTTTTTTTTTTTTTTCTTCAAGAGGGTTTTTGGCATCACTAGTGCTTGGCTGTTTCTTGCTCAACCTCTTTGTTTTCCTATGGCACCTTCATCTCGGGCACAAGCCCCTGAGCACAGCGTGGCTAAAGCCAGCCTCACCTTTCCGAGGTGAGAAGGAGCTTCTCCATCAAGAGAGAGGAAAGGTGCTTGGGTAATGAAACCTTAGAGTGGAGGGGTTTGTGGGGCAAGTTTACTTTTTTATTAAGGCAACGCTGTGCTGCTGGAGATCACCTGCTGCAGTATGGGTAAAGTTTCTCTATAGGCACTGGGTCAGTGCGGGGGGGAACAGGGATGAGCGGCAGCCCCTTGACGGCGTTGCGGGGCCGGGCAGCCCCTCTCCCCGCGGGGTTTGTGTCTTTAACAGGGCTGGCGGGGCGCCGGGCAGGCGGAGGCGTGGTGAGCCGGGAAGGAGCCAGTTTCCTGCTTCCCCGCTCGCAGCCGAGCGGCCGCGGCGGCGGGGGGAGGCGCTCGCCGCCCCCCCCATCCATCCCTCCATCCCTCCCTCCACCCACCCACCCATCCATCCGCTCGCCCACCCCGCCCGCCCGCCCGCCCTTCCTCCATGGGCCGGCGCGGCCGGCGCTGAGCGCCAGGAGGCAGCGCCCGGCGGCGCCCGGCTGCCGCGATGAGCGGCGGGGAGGTGGTGTGCTCGGGCTGGCTCCGAAAGTCACCGCCGGAGAAGAAGTTGCGGAGATACGTAAGTCTCAGCCCACCCCGTCTCATCCCTGCCCCGGCCTTTGGAAAGCCGGGATCCATCCCCCCCGCCTCCATCCCTGCTTTCCCCCGCCGCCAGCCCGGGTGCACCTGCCGCCGCCTCTCCCGGCGCCGCCGAGGCTCGGCAGGGCGGGGGTGTCCCTTGCCCGGGCGCGGCACGGTTGAGTCGTGGCTCCCCGCCGCTCGGGGAAGGAGGGTGGGAGCATCTCCGAGCGCCCCGGCTTGTCCCCTGCCCCGCGGTGGTGGGGCGGGAGGTGACGGCCGCGGCTGGAGCGGGCACCCGATGCTGGGGCCGTTCTGGGTGCGCCCCGCGGTGGCCGGGCTCACCCGGGAGCTGCGACGGTCACACCCCCGCCTTTGAAGTCGTGTGTTTTAGGGAAGGCTGGGAATACCTCGGTCCCAAGGAGTAAAGGTACTAACGCATCTTGGATCGCCCCCAACATCTCCGTAATAGTCGCTCCCCACCACCCCATCCCGCGCACGGTTCCTATTAATCATTGAACGTCCGAACCCTTTGAAGGTAGCACCAGTAGCGCTTGGATAGCCTTTGTGTCGTTAGCGGCTGAGATCAAACACTTCAAAGAAGTTGTAAAAAGAGGGTCCAAATGCCAGCTCTGTCACATTCCCCACTCATTGAAAGAAATAACTGTTCTTTGCGCCCTCCACCTGACGGTCCCGCCGTGCGCCTCGAGCATTAGAGCTCAGAAACACACTGCCATCCTATGACTCGGCAACATTGCTCCCTGGGAAGAAGCTGAGGTCCCACTCCCTGATGCCAGTGACCAGCCTCTGCCAGGCTTCAGTTGACTGGAACACAGCCTCTGGGAGAGAGCTGGATGCACTCCCTTCTTGGGGGGATACCAACCAGGTCGTCCTTTGGTCCCCTTGCTTTTGCCTGTATGCATCTCAGGAACGACAGGCAGAACAAGTGCAGCTGGTGTCTCCCCAGTGCCTGTTATTGATTGATGAAAGCATCACTGCCTACCCTTGAGAGGGAGATGGATGTCTGTAGTCCCATACTGCAGGCTAGAGCAGGACTGGAGGGGTGTCTGATTTGTGATGTGCTGCTATTAGCCTTGTTCAGCCCTGTAGACGTCAGTCATGCTACATCCCTTTGCTTTAGGCTGTGTGTCCAGTCACTTTGGGCAGTCTTTTCCTTGTATGCCTCATCCCCTTTGAGGGAGTATCATGTTGGAACTGCTAGGGAATCCAGTTCTTTTGCTCCATGTCCCCTAAAATGTACTGAGGCAGAGGTAAACCTGGGTGTTTATGTGGGAAATATCAACCCCCTAATGAATATAGGCAGGCTTTGTGGGAGATGCACAGAATGACTTTGTGCATGCTGAACTGTGGAGAATGCTTTTAGCTTAATGGAGCAAAGCACCTTCCTCCCGCAGAAATCAACTAATTGCTGATCCTGAGTCACCAGTGGCCTTAACTCATCAAACATCATTAGCTCCCCAGCATCTGCCCCATGAAAGGGCGCTCACATTGCCATCTGAATATCCAGCTTGTGCTCTGGCATTCCAACAAGAGCTGAATAAATCTGCTAAATGCTCTACATGGAGGGTGTGACATGCCAGCGGTTAGTGCTAATTATTGATGTGCATAAGAGTGCTTTTCATCCAGATACATCCCAAAGTGCTTTGCAAGCCACCTATGTTTTCAGAATGTCCTCATTCCCCCAAGAGGAAATGCGGCCGTGCGGAGATGTGCCTGGCCATCCCACGCAGCCTCCGCGGGGCAGGAAGCGATGCTTGGCAGATGTCACTCGAGGGGATCTCTGTGCCGGAGCGGTCCCAGCGCTGTGGTCAGTGGGACTTCCCTTCCAGTCACACCAGTTGCGCCAGCTTCCTGCATCAGCGGCTGGATTTGAAAATGTTTGCCTTAGCTTGGACTGCGTCTCGCTTGGTGCTGCCCCCGCCTTTACTTTTTAATGCACTATTATTGATATTATTATATTTAATATAGCTTCAGTGTGCATTCAGGGTGTTGGTGCGTTGATCAAGTTCTCTTCGATAGTGGTTCAGAGCAGCTTGCTGTTACAGAGCCTGAGGGTGATGGCTTTACTCCTGTAAAGTCTGCCTTCATCTGCAACAAACCCACATAGTTGGACTTCGGTTTTCATGCACAAAAAGGCGAGTTTTTAGCCACTATGGTGTTACGCTGGCTTTTGTACGGCCTCAAAGGGAAGGCGCTGAATTGCTGGCTTTGCCACTTTCCTTATACCTTCAGTTTATATTCTGCTTTGAGACCTCAAAGGAGAAATCTCAGGCTGCAGGATGCTGCTAATCGGGTTTGAAGTTCCTGCTCTGGCTGTATTGACACAGGGTAGATGATAGATTTATTTTTTCTTTGACAAATGCATTTCAAATGTACGTGTCTGCACATGGGTGTGTTGCTAACGCTGTCCTTGAAGTGCTGTGCTTTTATAAGCCTGGTTTTGTTTTGCTTTTATTCTTCAAGGAGATCTTTGGCAAGAGAGGGAAGTGCTAAATTTTCTCTCTACCTTCCATCCAGAATGATCGGGGAAGGGGACTGTTCTCCACACGTGATCCATGCAGCGTTAATCTGCATTTACAGCAATACCTCCTCTGTTTCACTTCAGAGGATTGTGTTTATGTGAGATTGCGGGATGCTTTGTGTAGGACCTCTTTGTACAATGCTCGGGAAAATACTGGTGTTGTGAGTTTTTGTTCCATTGGAGGACATTCACATGATCAAACCACGACTGCTTAAAGGTTGAGACAAAGTCTACCCTTTTTCTGCCTTGTAACTGTGGACAGGGGTTCATGTAGACCCTAGGCAGTTTGGCTGTAAGTGCTACTGTAGTATGGATAATAAAAGCTAAGTGTGCAACTGAAGGTCAAAAATAACAGAGGCACCAAAATACCTGCTTCCACATCTGTTCTTCTTGGGACGCCAAGCTCCATCATCCACTTGCTTGATTCCTTTTTTTCAGACAAACGCTTTTGTACATTCATGGAGTGGTTTGGGTTGGAAGGGATGTTTAAAGCTTATTTAGCCCAACCCCCGTGCAATGAGCAGGGACATCTTCAACTAGACTAGGTTGCTCAGAACCCCATCTAGCCTGGCTTTAAGTGTTTCCAGGAACAGGATATCCACCACCTCTTTGGGCAACCTGTGCCGGCGTTTCACCACACTCATTTTAAAATCAGTTTTTCCTTATATCTAGTCTGACTCTACTGTCTTTCAGTTTTAAAAGCATTGTCCCATGTCCTTTTGCTACAGATACTGTTAAAAAGTCTGTCCCTACCTTTTTCTGACTTTCATGCATGAAAGAGTCTTCTTGTAAGCAGCCACAAAGCACAGAACTGTCTTGTAATTCCCCTCCTGGCTCCTTCTTGAAACACCCATGAAAAAAAAATAAAAACCCCTCAATCCCTAAACAAAACCCTTGACTTTAGTTGTGTGACCAATGAGCCGAGACCAGAGCATGTTGTGCCGGTCCTGTACTGACTCACTGTCTCCCGGTCCTCTCCCGCTGGACGTGCCTGTCTGTTGTCTCCTGTGTTAGACGTGGGTTTAGAGTGGTGTTTTGTGTCTGTCCGCTGCCCAGCACGAAGGGTTCGGGGGTGGACTGTCTGGCAGAGAAGCAATGTGAAAAATAACTGCTGTCGTAGAGCAGCTCAGCTCCCTATCGTTAGATCAGCGCGCTCTGCCTGCTCATTTATGTACCGTGAAGTCAGAGTATTTTCTGTCTGGCTGAGATGTATGTCTGCAGTTCTGACTAAAACAAAAGCTTCTCGTCGTGTACTGGTTTTACAATGCTTCAATGCTTTGGGGTTTTTTTCCCCCTGTCTGGTTTAAACAGGGGGAGTTTAGCTTTGTGCATCAGCGATCGTTTTTACGTCAAACAGAAGCAGTTTAATCAAGGTCGTTGGAAGAGCTGCTCCTCTTCAGTGGGGTGAGCAAGAAGAGGTTAAGAGGGGTATGATGGGCTAATTTTATGATCACAGTCCTATTCCTAGGGTAACTCCCTGATGAAGGGCTTCCTTTGGTTCTTCATATCCCACTTGAAATGTATAGCAAGGATGTCCTCCTTAAATGAGAATGTGGAATGTGGGCTGAAGTAGGACCACTGGAGCAGAGATGTTACAGGCTGCTCAAACGTTGGAGGTGCCAGGTGGAGTTTGGCATGATGCTAGTTGGGATGAAATTTTATAGGAGGGGGAAGAAAGAACACCCCTTTATTGTACAGCAAACTACAAAAGATGGATATTGTGCAAAATTATCTGCTTTTTTCCCCCCTCTTCTCTCTAAGGGCTTTTAATGGGTCACTCTCATATTCAGCTGTGCCATGCCTAATTCGGGACACTCCCCCCTACCAAAAATAAGAAATGGTTGCAGAGACTCCAGAGAAAAGCACCCAAAAAATGAGCAGAAATCTAGGAAACATAGAAAGACTGAAGGAAATGAGATTGTTTAAGGACGAGAGGGCTGAGAGGAGAAGTAGCGGTCACTGAATATGTCTAAGGTATCTGTGAAGGGGAAGGGACTAAACTGCTCTACATGGGCAATGGTAGGAGGCCAAGAAGTGCTGAACTTGAACTGCAGCAAGGGAAACAAGTGTTAGGAAAAACTTCCTGACCTCTGATTGCCAGAGAAGTGAAGCAGTGGAACAGATGGTTTGGGATGGGCTTGGAGTCTCCATTGTGGCAATTTTGAAGCACAGGTTGGCCAAACTCTATTTCAGAGAGCTGATCCTGTTTTGAGGCAGTGGAATAAATTTGACAAATTCTCCAAAAGTTCCTTTCAGTGCTAGTTTAGGTGAATTTATGGATTTTGAACCTGGATCCAGGGAGGGATAGCAGAGAGGCTTAAGGGCACAAATTATGTCACCTGGGTCTACTGATGGGACTCAGGGAAGTCCTTTGATGAGTTCTTTTTAGAAAGTTTTGACAGCACTGAACTTCATGACTTCACACTTACTCCAGCTGTCAAGCTGCCTGCTCCTCCCAT